CCCACACATGCAAAGCAGAACAGAATGGACTCTGCTTGTGGAAAGCTTTTGGCAAACCTTCTGACACAAGTCAGAGCAGGAAAGGGCAGCCCCGCACTGGAACAATAGCAGGGACTCTGAAACGGTTCCTTGCATAATCACTCACAGGACAGAGTTGACCACGATGTCTAGGTCCCATGAAGTCAACAAAGTGCTAACCGTTGGTGTTTGTGTGTTCTGGTCCTGTTTCTATCCAAGTGGAAGTTAATAACCATCAGCCTGATTTTTCTGGGTTTTAGAGATTCTTCAAGAGTTTTTCTCCATGGAGAACCTGGTCAGATCCATCTGCTCGCCCAGACGACGTACCCCAGAGCTTGGTGAAGTAAGTTGGTGCACTTTTAGGGTTGTCCTTCAGCAAACCTGAGTCAGAGACCAACCCATTTCAGTCTCTCCTGAGTTTTATGGTCCCATAAAGCAGCAAATTAACACCTGTACTCAGGACACACACGTAGAGTAGGGAGGAGTGTTGATGAAATACGTTTAGTGCTTTCAGCTCTCTGAGTAGATTATCTGTGGCGGCACAGGCCCGGCTGAACCCGACAGCTGGGGCGGCCTGATAAGTGTGTGTGTGTGTGTGTGTGTGTGTGTGTGTGTGTGTGTGTGTGTGTGTGTGTGTGTGTGTGTGTGTGTGTGTGTGTGTGTGTGTGTGTGTGTGTGTGTGTGTGTGTGTGTGTGTGTGTGTGTGTGTGTGACACCAGACTTTCTTCTGAACTGTGCTAACTAAACCTAAAGCCCAACACCAGCATCCTATTGTCTTAAATCAGAGTGAAGCAGTAGAATCCCAGAGCTTGAACTTTTTCTCTCAAATGAAATGTTCTAGAAGGGTCTTGTTGTCATCTTCTGTGCTAGACAGAAGGTGGAGGACACCACCTAAAGGCCGCACCTGCTCACATTCAGACGTCAGATAAATCCATCAGCGGTAATTAGGCTGTAAAGCTGCCAGGAGAGGCTCTCTCTCTCTCTCTCTCTCTCTCTCTCTCTCTCTCTCTCTCTCTCTCTCTCTCTCTCTCTCTCTCTCTCTCTCTCTCTCTCTCTCTCTCTCTCTCTCTCTCTCTCTCTCTCTCTCTCTCTCTATATATATATATATATATATATATATATATATATATATATATATATATATATATATATATATATCACATTACATAAAATTATATTATTTATAACACTTGTTTTTACTTAAGTGAAATGTCGCTTGTGGTCTGGGCTCAGCCCAGGTGTTTCTTAAAGCCTGGAGACGCCCCTGGGAGGGATGGCTGATCATTGCGCAGCTCTTCCTCTCAGAGGCTCTGGGGGTTCGGGCGGCCGAACTGGGTCCAGGCTGCGTCCGTGAGTGAGCGCAGAAAGCGCAGCGGGTCCTCCGCTGACACCATCGGGTTGTTGCTGCGCATTAATGAGCGGCTGTGCGGCGAATAATGCGCGGAGACGCCGGAGACGAGCGCAGATCCTCTCCGGCTGGGAAACTTGTTGGTCGGTTGTTTTGATCTGAGAAGAGATGCATCTGTTTCGGAGTCACAATTACCAAGTGTTCCCGCACCGCCACGCAGTGCAGACGCCGACCGTGCGGGGCATCAGCTGGGTAGGATGCGGTTCCTTCTTAGAGTTGTGTAGATTAACGCAGGAGAGCTCTGATGAGAACAGGTGGTGCCATACTTTAGAGGTCCTCAGCTGTCAGGAGATGAGGCTGAATTTGTTCTGCGTATGTTGTTTGTGCGTCATGTCAAAACAAACATGAGTATAAACATTAAAGTGGTTGTGTGAGAGTTATGAGGACCTGTTAGGCACTAATAAAAGAAGGAGGCTACACTTTGGACACTAATGAAAAATCATTCACGAATCCTCAGCTAACCATTTGGGCAAGTGAAGCTGTTCACGCAGAACTGAGCACATTTAGCATTTTACCAGTTTTTAACATTAATATTCTGGTTTAAACTGAACTGTGATGCACTAAAATCATCTGGTGATCATATTCAGCAGGACTAACTTGGATCTGCTCCTCTGAAGCTCACACATCAGGTTATTGGGACACACTAATTTGTTTTACTTTCAGATGGATGATTTCCCAGTTAATGAGGACTTTAAACAGGTACTATGTCAGTTTGTTGCTGTCTAATTCCTGGAAGGCATGTTTATAACCAAGCTCCAGCTCTGTGAAAACAAACCATTTTTATCTTTATCTCCTACTCTGATCGTGTTTATTTGCTTCATGTTCACACAGGCTTTGATTATTCAGTATATTTGCAGAATTAAAAACCACTTTAAAGTGTCAAAGATCACAATTTTCCTCTATTGTCTCAGCTTCTTCAGAAATGCAGGAAAGGTGACAAAGCCCAGAGTTTTCCTTCTGAAAGTTCTGTTATAAATAGTGTATTGTTTATTGTTCACCTTCCCTGTAGCTCCCCCGCTCACTTTACAGAGGGGTGTGGAGAAGAATGTGCGGAGTGGAGGTCTTTGTTTTCAGGTTACAGGAAGACAGAGCAGGGTCCAAAGCCTCTCCGGCTCTAAATTTACTCTCAGAGACGACTCTAAATCTCCTCGCTGTTTTGACCAGGAGAATAAAAAGTTTAATATAGGACATTAACAGCATGATAAAAGGGTTTCTGGCTTTGAAAGTTTAACGCCTGTGCACCTAAATCTTTTATTTGTGCTGATTTAGGTCACGTAACAAAACACAGCTTGAAGAAAAGCTCACCGGCAACAGGTTTCACCAGATTAATAATGAAACACAAATCCTCTGATAATTCTAAAATAAAAGAATTGTTTGTTTTCTGAGGAAACTGGGTTGTTTCGACGCTGAAGTGATGAAATCTGAGTGAACTGCTGTAGAAACAGGTGGGATTTAAAGTAGTGCTGTTTTTCTATTTCACTTTTCTGTTTGGCTCTAAAACATTACAATTTCATTGAAAAGATGTGTTCATACCTTTGACTGATTTAGTCTTATTTTTATTTGCAAGCAAGAACCCTCCACATGATCCCCCCCCCCCCCCCCTTCTAAAGCTAGATGCATCCTGTGATGTTTTTTTAATGCATTAATGAAAAATGACACCGTCGACAGCAGCTGTATATGATGAAAGTAATGAGTATGCCTGTTTGTTTCTAACCCTAACCCTGAGCAACACTCTGCAGTGGCTCTATGGACAACCGGGCTCCCGTAGCAACACTTCTCTGCTTTTATCGCAGCACCGCTACTCAATATTTTCTTCATGTGACTCACTGATAAAAAAAATGATAGAAAATTCAATTCAATTCAATTAAAAATACTTTATTAATCCCAGAGGGAAATTGATTGCTGTAGGAGCTCATAATAATAATAATAATCAAGTAATCAAAGAGTTGTTGTATATTACAATGGCTGTTGGCAGGAAGGATCTCCAGTAGCGGTCAGTGTTGCAGCCAAACTGAAGAAGCCTCTGACTGAAGACACTCTTCCGTTGTTGGACAGTCTTGTGAAGAGAATGCTCAGGGTTGTCCATCATTTTCTTGATTCTCTGGAGAATCCTTCTTTGCATTATCTCCTCCAGCGGTTCCACAGTCGTCCCCAGAACAGAACCAGCCTTTTTTATTAGGCTGTTGAGCCTTTTCAGGTCCCTGCTTCTGATGCTGCTACCCCAACAGACGATGGCTGAAGAGATTACACTCTCAACTACAGACTTGTAGAAGATCTGCAGCATCTTGCTACAGACATTGAAGGACCTAAGCGTCCTCAAGAAGTGCAGTCTGCTGTGTCCCTTCTTGTAAACGGCTTCGCTGTTCTTTCTCCAGTCCAGTCTGTTGTCCAGGTGAACTCCAAGGTGTTTGTGTTCCTCAACCACCTCCACTTCTTCTCCCATGATGGAAACAGTGTTTGACTCCACCCTGTTTCTTCTGAAGTCTAAAATCATCTCCTTTGTTTTGTTCATGTTCAAGATCAGATGATTGTTTCCACACCATGCCACAAAGCACTCCACCAGCTCTCTGTACTCAGCTTCCTGTCCATCTCTGATACACCCGACAACTGCAGAGTCATCTGAGTATTTCTGTAGATGACAGGTCTCTGATTTGTACTGGAAGTCTGAGGTGTGCAGGGTGAAAAGGAATGGTGAGAGTACAGTCCCCTGTGGTGCTCCAATGTTACTGATCGCCTGGTTTGATGTGCAGTTCTTCAGCCTCACAAGCTGTGGTCTGTTTGTCAGGTAGTCTTTAATCCAGGCGATAGTTGAGGTCCCCACCTGTGTCTTCTGGAGTTTCTGGCAAAGTACATCAGGCTGGATTGTGTTAAATGCACTGGAGAAATCAAAGAACATGACCCTCACAGTGCTGCCTGTTTTGTCTAGATGACAGTGGGTTGGTTGAAGCAGCTGGATGATGGCATCTTCAACTCCCAACTCCATGGCGATAAGCAAACTGCAGCGGGTCCTGATATGTTCTAGTTTGCTTATTCAGGTGGACCAACAGGAGTCTCTCCAGGACCTTCATGATGTGGGATGTCAGGGCAACCGGTCTGTAGTCATCATTGACTGATGGGCGAGTTTTCTTTGGAACTGAAACAAGTCAGGATATCTTCCAAGTGTAGTTTTTGTTAGTGTTCTGGTTTGTTTTAATCACCACCGAACATCCGATCTGCCACCTGCTGATGCAATTCACCTGCAGTCTCCCTAAAATGTGAACTCTGGACATTCTTGGCTCTTTGTGTTTTCATGACCAAGCCCATAGGTGATCACTGTATTTATTACTGAAGTTTTCATCAAGTTCAACTCGTAAAGCTTGGAAAACGTTGGTAAACTGAACAAAGATCTTGTTATTCTGCGAGAAAGTGACCAAAATCATCATAACTGTGATGCTTCCATGTTCAAGCAGCCTAGCTAGGCAGCTTTTAGTTATATAACACATTTCATTCACAGAGGTAATTCAGTGTGCTTTCCATTAGCGAGAATAGCGCGAACACTAAAGTAACGTGACAGCACAATTAAAACACACAAATACATTTTGATCAAATTAAATCAAAAGAAGACAAAGATAAAGGGTGAGCAGTTACAGTGCAGAAGGTGCAGCATAAGAAACATTCATTCAAAGGCTGATGAATACATGAAAGTTTTAGATTTTGATTTCAAAGTTACTAGAGATTTGAGGTCATGCAGAAGCTGATTCCATCCGTGTGCAGCGTAGTAGCTAAAAGCGGCTTCACCCTGTTTGCTTCTGACCCGGGCTTCTACCAGCTGACTGTTTCCTAAAGATCTCAGAGCCCTGCTGGGCGTATATACCTAAAGGTGATCCGACACGTATTCTGACCCCCATGCCATTAAGTGATTTGTAAACTATTAGAAGTACTTTGAAATCGACTCTCTAGCTTACTGGTCACCAGTGTACAGAACATGAGTGATGTGCTTGAGACTCCAGCAGCAGCATTCTGAGTAAGCAGCAGTTGCTTCACGGCTTTTTTTAGGAAGACCAATCAAAAGACCGTTGCAATAGTCCAGTCTGCTGTAGATGAACGCATTAATGAGTTTCTCTAGATCTTGTCTGGACATGAGACCTCTGAATAAATATCTCCAGACACCAATTCCATCTTTTAGTTCTTTTTAAAACACAGAAAGGCTTTATTTACCTGCAAGGTTTACGAAACCTTGCAGGTAAATAAAGCCTTTCTGTGTTTTAAAAAGAACTAAAAGATGGAATTATAATTTCAACACAGCAAGAACGCACCAAAGATCTCCAGACACTGTTTCACGTGTTTCTGCTGATGGTAATCAATAAGCGGAGGCCTCAGCTGCCTCACTAGGAGCTGCGAGTCCTCACGTCACGCCCGCTCCCACATGCAGCACTATGACGTTGAGACAAAGCAGATCTAAATACCTCTGTGGCGTTCAAGAGCGTTCCTGCGGCTGTCGCCTCCTCACACACCTCCGAGGACACCGGTTTCTCCACATTTTTGCCCTTTTCTGATTTGCCTCCGTCCTCGTGCTTGAGTCGATAAAACATGTGCGCAGTGCATTTGGGAAGTTCACTCCTGCAAATCGGAAAATCCACGTTGATCAAAACTCTTGATTCTTTTAGTGGTCTTTGTTCCTTTTCTGGATAAATTCTAATAATCCGCTGCTGAGACGTAAACCATGTGACGTCTGCAGACCAGATGAAACGTGCCACGGTGTCTGGCTGCAGAGTCACAGATGTTTATCAGTCATGCGGAGACTTTATCGTGACTTTCCGACCCATGCCATCAGCAACAGTTTCAGTGTCCACTACGCCGCCCAACCTACCAGATCTGGAAAAAGATATTTAATCATAATAATTGCACTGATGGGTTTGTTTGGGTCTATAAAGGATATTTACTTTAAGCAATTACTGTGGGAATACAGGTAGCAGTTATACCAACCTGGCCATAAAAACATAAAAACCAAGAGGAAGTTCCGCTGTGATCAAAGGGCAGGATGTGTTGGGTTTAAGAATATGGAAACGGGTTTTAGTTTGGATCATGTATCAGGATCCTTCAGAGATGTGAGTGAAATCAGGGGCGGCATTAGGCCCGGCGACTTGGGCTCAAGCCCTGGATGTTTCATGAAAAGCCCCGGATCTAAATCGTGGAAGTAACATGCAGTACCA